CCAAAAATAAATAAACGTTGAAAAAAAAATTTAAAAAAAAACCAACCAAACAAAAACCTACATCTGAGTACAGAAGGAGAGCCATAGGTCATACACACATGCACGCGCGCACACACACACACACACACACACACACATACAGTTGACCCTTAAACAATGGGGGAGCTAGGGGCACCAACCCCCACCCCATGCAGTCACAAATCCACGTATAACTTTTGACTCCCCCAGAACTTAACTACTAACAGCCTACTGTTGACTCAAAGCCTTATCAATAACATAAACAGTTGACTAACACATATTTTACACATCATATGTATTATATACTGTATTATCATAAAGTAAGCGAGAGGAAAAAAATTTAAGAAACTCATAAGAGAAAATACCTGGACAGTACTGCACTGTATTTACCGAAACAAATCTGCGTGTGGGTGAACCTGTGCACTTACAACCAGTGCTGTCGTGGGTAAGCTGTATGGCATATTTTTCTTTAAAAAAAAAAAAATGTTTATTTATTTTGGAGAGAGAGAGAGAGAACATGAGGGAGGTAGGAGCAGAGAGAGAGAATCTCAAGCAGACTTTGCACTCTCAGCACAGAGCTCAATGCAGGGCTCAAACTCACAAACCGTGAGATCGTGACCTGATTGGAAATCAAGGCAGACGCTTAATTAACTGAGCCATCCAGGCGCCCCTGTATAGTATAATTTTATTGCAGGAAAGGGCCTTAACGGGTATCTGGCCCAACCTCCACCCAAAGTGGGCCTCCCACCTAAAACGTCGGGGACAGTTCAATGACTTCCCCAGAGGAAGCCTCAATTTACTTCTGGATAACCTCTAACTACTGATTCCTGTTCTGACCTCCGGAATCACATGGAAAACTCTGCTACAGAGAAGCTTTTCCAATATTAAAACACAAACAATAACAACAACAACAACAAAGACAAACATTTTAAAAGCTCTACTGTTGGCTCTGAGTATTCTCTTACCCAGAACCTGCACAGCCCCTCATAACATAGGCTTTTTAGACCCTCTTACAATTTTGGGGTTCTCAACTTTAAAGGGTACCTGCCCTGGAGGACGTGGGAGGCACCGGAAGCAAGATGACGGCAGTGGTCGATGAGTTGTTCCCTGAGGGCGCTGGGCTCTACGTGGACCTGGAAGAGGCAGGAGGCAGCACCGGGCTCCTGATGAACTTGGCAGCCAGTGAAAAGGCAGTTCATGCAGACTTTTTTTTTTTTTAATGATTTTGAAGATCTCTTTGATGATGATGGTATCCAGTGAGGTGTGGTCCAGCGATGCGTGTGGTCACGACTCTGTCACATATTGGTGTGGTGGATCTCCTCAAAGGACAATTTCAGGGCGCTTGGGTGGCTCAGTCAGTTGAACATCCAACTTTGGCTTAGGTCATGATCTCACAGTTCAAGGGTTTGAGCCCTACATTGCGCTCTGTGCTGACAGCTCAGAGCCTGGAGCCTGCTTCGGATTCTGTGTTTCCCTCTCTCTCTGCCCCTCCCCTACTTGCGCTCTGTCTCTCTCTCTCTCTCTCTTTCCCTCTCTCTCAAAAAATAAACATTAAAAAAAATTTTTTTAAATAAAGAACAACTTCAAGTGGTTCTAAAGAACTTGTGGACAGTACTTGAAATTAAGAGATGGTTAACCAAGAAAGAGAAGGATGGTTTTAACCCTCTGTGTGAGGCCCACTAGTCTCCGAATGTGACCAACTTTTGTCCTTCAATTAAAAAAAAAAAAAATGATGGCATCATTTGCCAGATAAAAATAAGACAAACAAATAAATAAAAATTAAAAAAAATAAAGGGTGCCTGTCTCAACTATACATAAAAGTCCAAATGTGGTCTGATAATGTTGGATAGATATACATATTGAATTTCATTCATTGATTAACTAATTAATCCAACATTTATTGCCAGCAGAAACTAAGCTAGTCACATAGATGGATACACATATTAAATACCTTAATAAATGCTATATATACAAGATTTCCTTTCCAGGATGGTGACTATAGATAATGATATTGCACTGTACATTTGCAAGTTGCAAAGAGAGAGTAAATCCTTTTTTCAGTTTTGTTAAGCTTTTAATTTTAATTCCAATATAGTTAACATAGAGTGTTATATTAGTTTCAAGCATACAGTATAGTGATTCAACAATTCTATACATTACTCAGCGCTCATTAAGATACGTGTGCTTGGGGTGCCTGGGTGGCTCAGTTGGTTAAGCGTCCGACTTCGGCTCAGGTCACGATCTCACAGTTGGTGAGTTCAAGCCCCGCGTCGGGCTCTGTGCTGACAGCTCGGAGCCTGGAGCCTGCTTCTGCTTCTGTGTCTCCCTCTCTCTCTGCCCCTTCCCTGCTCATGCTGTGTCTCTCTCTGTCTCAAAAATAAATAAACATTAAAAAAAATAAATAAATAAAAAGAGCACCACCGGAACTTGTGGGCTTTCTA